AAAATCCCATAGTCTCAGCCCAAAAGCTCCTTCAGCTGATAAACAACTTCAGCAAAGTTTCAGAATACAAAATCAGTGTATACAAATCACTAGCATTCCTATAAACCAAGAACAGCCAGGCCGAGAGCCAAATCAGGAATGCAATCCCATTCACAATTGCCACAAAAGGATAAAATACCTAGGAATACAGCTTACCAGGGAGGTGAAAGATCTCTACAATGAAAATTACAAGACACAGAAAGACATACCATGCTCATAGATAGGAAGAATCAATATCATTAAAATGGCCATATTGTCCAAAGCAATTTACAGATTCAATGTGATTCCTATCAAACTACAAATGACATTCTTCACAGAACTAGAAAAGATTACTTAAAAATTGATATGGAATCAAAAAAGAGCCCAAATAGCTAAGGCAATCCTAAGCAAAAAGAACCAAGCTGGAGGATATGACATTACTCAACTTCAAACTATACTACAGGACTACAGTAACCAAAAAAGCATGGTACTGGTACAAAAACAGACACATAGATGAATGGAATAGAACAGAGAACCCAGAAATAAAGCTACACATCTACAACCATCCGGTCCCTGACAAAACTGACAAAACAAGCAGTGGGGAAAAGACTTCCTATTCAATAAATGGTGCTGGGATAACTGGCTAGCCATATGCAGAAGACTGAAACTGGATCCCTTCCTTACACCATATTCAAAAATCAACTCAGACAGATTAAAGATTTAAATGTAAAACCCAAAACTATAAAAACCCTGGAAGGCAAACTAGCCAATACCATTCTGGACATAGGAATGGGCAAAGATTCCATGACGAAATGGCCAAAAGCAACCACAACAAAAGCAAAAATTGACAAATGGGATCCAATTAAACTGAAGAGCTTCTCTGCACAGCAAAATAAATTATGGGAAAAGTATTTGCAAACTATTCATCTGACAAAGGTCTAATATCCAGCATCTATAAGGAACTTAAACAAATTTACAAGAAAAAAACCAGCCCATTAAAAAGTAGACAAAAGACATGAACACTTTTCAAAAGAAGACATACATGTGGCCAAGAAGCATGTGAAAAAAAGTTCAATATCACTGATCATTAGAGAAATGCAAATCAAAACCACAATGAGATACCATCTCACACCAGTCAGAATGGCTATTATGAAAACGTCAAAAAATAGCAGATGCTGGTGAGGTTGCAGAGAAACGAGAACACTTAGATATGCTATTGGTGGGAGTGTAAATTAGTTCAACTAGTATACTAATTGAACCAATTACTAAATAAAATTAGTTCAATTCATGTATAACTAATTTGTGAAAAGCTGTATGGCAATTCCTCAAAGAGCTAAAAACAGAACTATCATTCAACCCAACAATCCCAATACTGGGTATATACCCAAAGAAATATAAATTGTTCTATCATAATGACACATACATGTGTATGTTCACAATAGCAAAGACATGGAATCAACATAAGTACCCATCAATGGCAGACTGGATTTTTAAAAAAGTGGTACATATATGCCATGGACTACTACGCGACTATGAAAAAGAACAAGATCATGTCCTTTGCAGGAACATAGATGGAGCTGGAGGCCATTATCCTTAGTAAACGAATGCAGTAACAAAAAAACAAATATTGCATGTCCTCCCTTATAAGTGGGAGCTAGATAATGATAAAACATGGAGACAAAGAGGGAAACAATAGACACAGGGGCTTACTTGAGGGTGGAGGGTGGGAGAAGGTAGAAGAGCAGAAAAAATAATTGTTGGGTACAAGGCTTAGAACCAGGGTGATGAAATAATCTATACAACAAACCTATGAAGTTACCTATATAACAAACCTGCACAGGTATCGCTGAACCTAAAATAAAAGTTTAAAACATAAAAAAAATTAAAAATTTTTAAAAAGAGATGTTAAAAAATACCCAAGACTTGATTAGTAACTGAAAAACTCCCCTAATTTTTGTCCCCAGTTTCAACTTAGGATCAACCAAGAAAGCCAAATATGTGCCCCCAGTTAATCAAATAGGCTGCCCCACTTCTAGTTACCCTGCCTACAGCTTCCCCATGCCAACAGCCTCCAATCAAGGCACACCTAAAGCCTTTCCCTTTTTTCACTGATGAAAAAAATTAATTGAACAGCCATTAGTCAAAGATGGCTCTGGTGCCTTGGATTCCTACATAACAAACTGAAACCCAACTCAGTGCAAACAGTAAAACAAAACTTAAGCTTAACCAATCAGAAAACACCAAACTAACCTCGAACTAGGGACTTTCCACTTCAACCAATAAAATATATTTTCTTTGTCTTACTTTCACAAATATCTCATAAAAGTTTCCTCTCTTGCCCCCTTTGGTGGAGCACTGAACCACTTGCAGTCTGGTGCTGCCCAATTCACGAATCATTGAATCATTTAATAATAAACTTATTAAAATTTGAATGTGCCTAAGTTTGTGTTTTTATGCTACTATAAATGTTTCCCACTCTTCTGCCTACCTTTGAGTCTCTGCCAAAATGCAGGTGACTACAGCTGACCCCCTGGCTATAGCAAGCTCAGAATAAATAGCCTTTGCTTCTTCTCATTAGGTGGGTCTCTACTTTTTTCCCCAGTTGACTTGATTTTAAAAATAAGGCAAATAAATCCACTTACTCAACACTTTCCTCCAGCTTACTCATATGGAGGAAAGGGAGGAAGCAAACCTCAGTTTTGTCTGGGTGGCCTTTTTAATCTTATTCCTTTAAAATAAAAGTCTGCAGTTATCCTTTACCATTTAGCTGAAAGAGAGAAAGCCAGAAGAGGGGCTCCTGGGAGATTCCTGTGACACTAATCTCTAAACCTGAAACCAGAGTGGATCTTGTCACTTCTAACCAAGCTCCTCACCGTGATTCTTCATTCATCTTTTTTGAGTTTACTTTGAAAGACATTTATTTTCACTGTAAGGACTCCTGGGCTTATGGAACACCTTAAGTCAGAAGATTCCCGTTAGACAAAAATAAAAAAACAACTCCCAGCAAGCTATCAGTGGACTTGCTAAGCAGTGGCAATCAGAAAAAGAAAAAAGGAGAGAGAGAGAGAGAGACAGAGAGGAGGAAGAGGAAGAGGGAAGAAAAGAAAAAAGTAAAAGCAGTTCTGAAACTCAGAAGCTAAGGATACCAAATGACTCAAGACAGAGTGCTGTTTTGTCTTGAGGGAAGTGGTCCATTTAAATCAAGTTTTAAAAAACAGGGCAGTGTTAAGTGTTTCTATGGCAACGTAGTGTACAACGTCGTGTATCTACGTTAGAAGCTGTTTGTAAATTAAGAAGCATGGTGTAGGGATTAACAGGAGACTGAGGGCTGCAGGACCCTTCCTCTCATTTCTCCAATGGGGCAAAAGTTGTTCCAAGGTGAACAGTGTGCCTGAGACTCCTGAAGCCCTAGAATAAACCTAGGACCTCATCCTGGAAGTGCCTTTTAAATACCACAAGTTAGAAGGGAAACACCTAGAATTATTGATTCCTGGGCTGGCAGGAGGAGAAGCAAGGCTCCTTTGCTGAAATGAAACGTTAAGATAAATTTGGTTATCAGGCTCTGGCCTAAAATTAGGTTCAGGATAAACCTTCAGAACTGGCTAAGAATTAATTTCATTTTCAGATATGCTTACCCACTCTGATGCTGTTTAATTGAAATCTCCATCTTATTGCTCTTGTCTAGCTAAAATATTGTCTTGAAAGTGAGAGTTCACAGCAGCAAATTTGGATAGATCAAACCAGAGATGACACCTTGAATCTCTAGAGCCACATTCAGTGCTCAGAAGATGTAACTGGCACTCTATCCTGTCTAGTATCCTGATTAATTAGAGATCAGCAATAGTAGCTAAGGCAAAACTCTGGAAGTCCTCAAGTGTACAAAGCTGTAGTTTGTACCTATCTGTTAATCGTACGTAAGATGAGCTTGAAAGTTTGGGCTTTAATGTTACAAGTTCCTCTTTATGTCTGAGAATGGATGGCAAGAAGCTTGAGCTCTACAAGGCAGGGGTAAGCTTAAATTCTGGCTCTATTATTTGTTAATCATGAAACTGTGGACAAGTTACTTAACTTCTCTGTGCCTCAGTTTTTTCTTCTGCAAAATGGAGATGATCACTATAGTGGTACCTACCTCACAGATTGTCAGGATCAAAGGAGATAATGCATGTAAAGTACTTAGTGCATAGACAGTACTCAACAGGCCAGGTGCAGCAGTTCACACCTGTAATACCAACACTTTGGGAGGCCAAGGCAGGAGGATCACTTGAGGCCAGGAGTTCGAGACCAGCCTGAGCAACATAAAGAGACCCTGTCTCTACAAAAAAAAAAATAATTAAAAAATTAGCTGGGCTTGATGGCATGCACCTGGTCCCAGACATTTGGGAGGCTAAGGTGGGAGGATCCCTTGAGCCAGGGATGTTGAGGCTGCAATGATCTGTAATCGAATCACTATGCTCCAACCTGAGTGACAGAGCAAGACCTTGTCTCAAAAAACAAAGAAAGAAAGAAAGAAAGAGAGAGAGAGAGAGAGAGAGAAAGAAAGAAAGAAAGAAAGAAAGAAAGAAAGAAAGAAAGAAAGAAAGAAAGAAGGAAGGAAGGAAGGAAGGAAGGGAGGAAGAAGGAAGGAAGGAAGGAAGGAAGGAAGGAAGGAAGGAAGGAAGGAAGGAAGGAAGGAAGGAAGGAAGGAAAAGGGCTCAACAAATCATAGTTATCCATTGTCTCTTTTTGCCCTACCCCCATTACTCCTATGAGAATGAAACACCAGGGGAAATGAATAGGATTCTTTCTCTCACAATAGAGGAATGGTTCATAAAGTTGACAAATACTCTGATGAACCCAGGAATAAGGATCAGGGTGTTCTGGGGCTAAGAGTAAGAAGGTGTGTATGCCACCACATGGCTCTAGGTAGCAAGCAGGCTGAGTGCCAAAGACAGCCAGCTGGGTATTTAAGCTCCAAGTTACCCCAGCAAAGAGCTACATGAGAGTTAGCTATTATCTTTTATTTACTCAAAAACATCCACAGGTGAATTCAGCAGTTTAAGTCCCCCTTAAACTCAGTTCATTCCTTCTGTTCCCAACATCTCCTAGGCATCCTCCGAGAGCAGGTTCTCTGCTCAATTCCACAATGACATGGAACTGAGTCACCACCACACACATGTTCAGCCCAACTAGAGCCTTTGGTCAGTAAATCAACTAGGCACCCTTCAGGCTCCATGACTTATTCTTCTATTTGGGAAGGAGGAAAACAGACAATAGTATCAATAATATGTTGTCCTCAAGTCAGGCCTCCAAAACAGTGAATACAGAAGAAGGCCAAGAGAAAAATGAAGTGGAGGAAGAGTAGTGGAGTGGGGGAGATAAAATTGGGGAACACCAGAGATGCTCCCACCTCGGTGGAAGTAATCAAGGATGTAAAAATCCCTTGGCCCAGGCATACAGGCCCTCAAGTGTTTGTTGATGGTGAATCTGAAGGTCAATGAGACAGAGAGTCATCTCTGATGGATAACTACTCAGAATTCTTCTCAATGCTTGTGTCCAAAGAATCAGAGGGATGGCAGACCACACAGCCTTTGAGGATGAAAAGGTAGGTTTCCTTGAACTTCTTTATTTTATAGGCGTAGACAATAGGGTTCATCATGGAATTGGCATGGGACAGCAGGATGCCCATGTACAGCAGAAGCTGTGGTACCTCACCATTAAAGTAGATGATGCAGTTGATGATGGATAAAGGCAGCCATGACAGAGCAAACAAGAAAAGAACCAGAAACAAGGACTTAGCTGTCTTGAACTCCCGTCCATAAAATGCACCTGTCTCTTTGGAGTTAGAGAAGTTCTGACTGAGTTTGTTCCGGATGATGTAAAAGATGTCAAGATAGATGGCACACATGACTACCAGGGGGATGAAAATCCAGGTGAAGAAGCTGAAGTATACCATGTAGTCCATTCTCATGACAGAAAGGAATTGGCATGAAAGGAAGGTGACATTTCTGTGGTACTCTGAGGTCAGTTTCATGTTCCAGCCAAACATGGGGGTCAGTCCCACCAGGAATGACACCAGCCAGCAAAGGCCCAGGGCCAGCCATATTCTTCTGTGAGTTGTGACCCTCTTGTATCTGTGTGAATGAAGACAGCCAGTGAGTTCATAGCAGGAATTGCTAAAGGGTAAGGGAGATGGAGCTGGTAAAGGAGAGAGAGAGGGGTGAGATAAGGCATATACTCTCTTAATTCTCCAATCTTCTGCTAAGGGGGGGCGGCATTGGTATTCTATGGTGATTTCAGCTAAACTCCACTGGATATGAAGACAAGATGAGCAGACAACGACTGGAGAAAAATCCAGGAAACGTCTGTGGGGACTTTTCTAAAGAAGAACACTCTTGAATGGATAAGGAAGATGTTGCCTAGAGTCAAGTGCTTACATGCCCCACTCAGGGCTCCACTTCCTGAGAGCTATACAACAGTTACCTATCTTTTTCTTTCTTTTTTTTCTTTTTTTTAACTCAAAAACATCCACAGGTGAATTCAGCAGTTTAAGTCCCCCTTAAACTCAGTTTACTCCTTCTGTTCCCAATAAGGCGTAAGCCCAAGAATTATTCGATTCCTGGGAGCTAAGATTCATTTAAGTCTCCGAGGATTGTCTGCCTGGTGAGAAATGATATTCTCAAAGCAAGCTTGCCTGCTGCTCTTGGCACTGTTCTGTTTGGCTGTTGTGCAGATTCTCATAAATTATACTATGCCTCCCCAACACTTCCCCTCTACCTGTGCCTGCTCCTGCTTCTCTATCTGCATGGGCATCCATACTTGGTATTTGAGTTAAATGAACCAATGAAGTTACAAAATTGTGTTGAAGTGTTTCAGAGACCTGAAAAGACTCATCCAGTAAGAGTCCTCATTTCTCCTTAAACTGTCCTTCCGGACAACAGCCTGTACAGACCACAAAAAGGAAACAAATATAGTTAAGTATCAGTAGATTTTTATCTCAATTACATCTCACAACAAACAGGAGATATTTTATTATAACCTCCATTTTATTGATGGCAATTGTGAAAATAATAGTAATGACAGCCACTATTTATTGAGCACAGACTGTGTGACTGGTATGTTTCTAAGAGCTTTACATATGTTAACGCATTCCATCTTATGAGGATACTGCAATTATCCCCATGTTATAGATTAAAAGTGAAACACAAATAAGTAACTTTTACAAGTTGGAAGTGGTGGGGCTAAAACTAAAAAAAGGTAAGTCTGAGTTCCGAGCATTGTCACCACCGTGATACAGAGTGGAAACCAAAGGAGACAAAGTTAAACAACTTGTTCAAGATCAGATCTCACATCTGGGATTTGAACCCAGACTGTCTACATCTAAAGCTTGTTTGTAGCTCCTTCACTCTGCTCTTTCCTCCAGAGAAGTGAAGAGAAACATGAGACCAATGCAATTTAGGTTGCCCGGGGAAGTAGATTTCTCCATTTGGCAGTCCGTTCTCTTCATATAGTCACATGTAATGAAAAATATTTTTAGGAAAAAAGCTCTCACATCTCAGGAGGAGAAGGAGGAAAAAAATATATATATATATACACACACACAGAGGATACATATATTTAATATAATAAATATATATAGGAATATATATATATATATTCCAAGAATCCCTTTCTCAACATTGAAGTGGGCACAGAATAGGAAGCAAAGATAAAATAATAACCTACATTTGCAAAACAATAGAACCATCGGTTTATCTCCTCTTATTCTTATCTGCCTGCTTCTCCTAAAATAATACGTCTTATCTTAGTAGGCTTTTATCATTTCTAAAACTGAAGAGAATTTTTTACTAATTAAAGATGCATCAAGATTTCATCATTTCTAGCCAAGGATTAGTAATTACAGCTGGAGGGATTGAGCACCCACCCCTATCAGTGGGAAGAGGACTGGAGCATTCCTCTGATTCTAGCTCCTGAATCCCAGCTCATTGTTGCTAACCCCCTCACAGACCATATCACAAAAAGACACTTACTGCCCTCTTTCAGCATCAAGGGCCAATTTGGATTCATTTTTTACTCAAAAAGTCTGGGCTCTGGGCTTTGTAGTCTCATTTCCCAGGTGCCTCAGTTGCTGCCCACCCCACCCTGCAGGCTACCTGACGGTAAGCTTGACCCGCAAGTATCGGTCCACAGCGATGGCCAGCAAGGACATGATGGAGGCGTGGGTAAAGATCAGCAGTAGGCAGGCCATAAAAAGGCAGCTGTAGAAGTGGATTGTGATGCCCAGACTGACAACAACAGCCAAAGGCATGACCAGCACCCCAACAGCAATGTCAGCCAGGGCTAGAGAGACAATGAAATAGAAGGTGGTGGTTTGCAGGCTGGGGTTCAGCTTGACCACCCAGATGACCAGCACGTTGCCCACTATGGCGCAGAGTCCAATGAAAATCTCCATGGTGATGTAGGTAACATCGGTCAATGACGGAGCAGTGCTGTTGTTGGGCATCTTGTCTTCCCAGGGGAACCTCCACAGGGACAGGTGAGCCAGCAAGATCCGTCTGTAGGGCCAGTGGGCCTAGCTCTCGCCAGACGTCTTCCCAGAGGTCCATGTGCAGTGACAGTCTAAAATTCCCAACTCGCTCATTCCTACTCTTTTCTGGTGGGGTGATCTCTTAGAAAGGGCTCATCACAGGTGGATCACTTCCAGCCCCTTTACGCACCGCACATCCTCAGGTTCCCAGAACCCTGGAGGACAGTTCTATATGGACTGAATCTGAAAGTGCTGCTGCTTTTAGTTCCCCAAACCGATGCCCTCAAGGCCTCTGCCTGCAGCTTTTTGGCTTTCTGAGTTCCATCGAGATAAGCAACCCTCTTCAGGCTTGTTTCAGGAAGTGAGATGGGCCAAGAGGAAGTACAGAGCCAGGAACTCTCAGCAGAAAGATGGAAAGAGCAGAGGAGGAGTCACGAGTGGCACAGAGAAGGCTCAAGACAAGATTGGGTGTCAGAATTCATTCATTCAGGGACCAGATGACAGTGCAGAATCAGGTGGGAGAGGAGCTGGAAGCACTGACTATGCAATCTTTCTGCCAGCTTAGCAAAAAGATCTCATGACAAGCAGGCAAAGGGGAGAAGAGGAACAAAAGAGACTTTGGTGGCAGCCTCCTAACCTTAGCCAGAACTATTCCTGCTAAGTTCTTGCTTCACTGAGCACAGCCGATACCCAGCCTTTGCAGCAAGGATCCTTGATCAAAAGGATAAGCAAAGATTCCCTGGTCAGAAGGGCAAAATCTCAGCACCTCTGCAAAGCATCACACCTGCTTAGCCTCCACCTCTGTTTCTCAGCTCACACCCCAGCAAAATCACACTGGCCCTGACACTGGCAGCCGGCCAATGTCCAACCTATGTGAGGAACGACAGAAGAGCAGAATGACCAGACATACAGAAGGAAGGGAAAAGAACGTATGCAACAGAATCAAATGGCATGTGCTCCTGCCCACACTCCCCAAGCCTCAGCCCCATCCCCGCAGAAACAGGCAACTGCCTGGGAATCAGCCCCCTCTCCCTGAAGCTGCTTACCTAGTCACCAACTTCTGGGAACGAGACACTTGCACACCATTGTTATTTGGGGAGTCCATCTGGTTCAGATGCTTCTCAGCACCACCCAAAAGGATTATTTTAACCAGGCATGTTAGAGAGGCAACAAGAAGGAACACTTGGACCGAAGCCCACACAGTAGCTTGAGAGCTTTATTATTTTTACCTTAAGCATCTAAATATGTACAGCCCAAAACAAAATTCAGCAGTAACAATAGTGTTCTGGTGTTTACTAACAAACACTTCGGAGTGGGGCATAAAGGAGAGGCCTCTGCCTGGGGCCCATCAGGGTCCTCTTGTTAGTTCCTCTGCTTTGGCATCATTCATTGATTCCAATCCCTACCACCACCGCTGTACCCCAATTTGATCCAAGTCTTACCAAATCCCATATTCGTCCCTGCCAGACTTGTCATTTCTCCCTGAGCAAACTCCCCAGACATTAAAAAGGGCAGTCCTCTCCAACTGTATTTCCATCATTCTAGTATTTTCCAACACCAGTTCTGCCCACATTCCTGCACTGCTGGAACTTGAAAACTTCATCAGCCTCCAATGCGTCCTCTCACAAATGTTTCTACTGTAATTGCTTTTTTTATCTGTGCTTCAGAGAAGGAAGTTACTGAGAGGAATTTCTAAGAGGCTGCATGCTACCAAAAAAAAAAAACAACAACAAAAAACCCAAAAACCTTTCTCACTATATAGCACTCTTTGAACCTTGGTTAAACACTGCAAAAAACCCTCCCTCCCCTACTCCAGTATATAGGTGAGTTCTTTTGTAATCAGTCCATCTCAGCAGGGTCAGAGAAACCAAGGAAAGGGGTTTGTGTCCAAACCCAGCATGCTGTAGACAAGATAGCACATGAAAGAATAACCCACTAGAGAGAAGAAAGGCAGGAGACACACTTAGGGTCACCAACCTAGCCACCTCTGCCCACCTGGGAATTCTACCCTCAGGATTCTCTGCACATACCATGGGGGGTTTCTTTTCTGTGAACAAGGGAAGCCCTTCCTTCATGTTCTCTGAATAGACAAGGTCCATCACTGCTGGGGTTGGGGTTGGGGGTGATTTGAGAACAGAGAGGAAGGACTTTCACAGTCACTTAACATTTTGACCTGGAACCCGGCCCTAGATTGAAAACCAAAAGACAATCTGGGAAAGGCGACAGAGAGGCTGGGGCAGAAGACCACCTCATTTGCCCATTCCTACCGCTGCACCCACAGCCCATGGCGCACAGCCACTCTTGGTCATGCACCTCATCACATCTCAAGTAGGAGATGCTGCAGCCTCCTACTCCGTGCCTCAGGCAACCAGAGGAACCATGCCAGAGCTCAACACCCAGGATGACCCCTGCCGCTTCCAAACCATTTAGTCTGTGCATTGCCTCAGGATCAAGTCCAGACTCTTTAGAGTGGCTGACACTCTTCTGAGGGGTCTCCCGGTCTCTGCAGTCACCTGTCACCTGGGTCCGCTATGCTGAGCAATTCGTGGCTCAGAGTCATTCTCTTTCACTTCCTCTCCGCTGTGCACACACTCTTTGCCCGGTTTGCAGGGCCCTTCTGCCCCAAGTCCGCCTAGAAAACAAATACTTTTCCTCCAAGACTGTTCCCCAACAGGACCTTGAAGAAAACTGCCCAGTCTTCACTTCTCCTCTGGAACAGCACTGTGCTGGGTGTACATGACTTCCCCACTTAGCCTGTGAGTTCCTGGAGGGCAGGGACCACCACTTTCCATTGCTGCATTTCTCGCCCCTCCTATGATGCCTGGCAGATCACAGGTGCTCAGTACATTTTTCATGAATGAATAGGAAAGCACTTCAGTGAGTCAGGTGGCATAAACTAGGCATTGGGTATATAAGGAAACAATAAATCAGTGAGGACTCTTAAGTGCTCTCCATCATACCAACTACTCAGTGTTAAGCAGCTTACATTCACAGACTCATTCAATGCTCTCGAATGAAATAGATACTACCATTATGCTGAGCAACCTGAGGCTCAGCGGGGTTAAATAACTTGCCCAAAGTTGTAAGCTAGGCAGTGGCAAAGCCAGCATTCAGACCTAGGCTTCTGCTTCGGAGCCCAGGTTCTGAATGGCAGCCCTCAGTAAGTAAATGAGCAAATAAACTACACAAACCTTTCAAAAGTACAAGGAGTCCCTGGGTTTGATGTTGCCATGCTATCAAAATCAGTAGAGATCAGTATTCTCAGATCTAAAAGAGAAAGTAGCCACCAAGACTATGGGCACAAAGCGCAAGTATAACGTAGATCTGGCAACTGCTCTGAGCTAGGAAGAGATGGCAGGACCAGACAGATGACTGCATGAGCAGACCGCTGGTAAGGCTGGGGCCCCAAGGTGAGCTCTGGGCCAAAAAGGAAAACGTTTTTATTGGCTCAAGGTGCAATTTTTTCTATAAATATATATATATATAAAATATATATATATATATATGTTAACTGTGGTTAACTGTGGTTCAGGAGAATTTCCCACCTAAAAGAAAGGCCATGGCTGTTTTTAATTCTGCTAGAAGAGGCTGGGTGTGGTGGCTCAGCCTGTAACCTTAGCACTGTGGGAGGCTGAGATGAGAGGATTGCTTGAGGCCAGGAGCTCAAGACCAACCTGGCCAACACAGTGAGATCCCATCTCTATTTTTGTTAATTAAAAATAAATTTTAAAATTCTACTAAAAGAACCTGAACTCCATCAGGAAAGCAAAGATCTAGGAGAAACCATTGGCTTAAATCACAGGAAGAGTGACTGGAGGGGAAAGACCTCACCTGTCCCAAGCCCTGGCCTGGGGCCCACTTGGGTCTGATGCAACTGGGCACAGCTCAACCACAAGGCTGCAACCTTGCCCTTGGGGTTCCGCTTAACAATCTGAGAGGCTAGCAGGAGAAATGATTCATCTGATCCTTTGCAGCTTCTCAGAAAAGCCTAGAAAACCCCAGCTGCCAGCCTACGAAAACAGCAAGATGCGGTGCTAGCAGGAGCCCAAGGAAAGGGCCTCTGGAGCCCTAGAGCTGGTCCCCGGGCGGCTGAGACCGGATGTCAGGCAGGCGAAAGGTGGGACTTCTGCCGAAGGCTCTCTCCCACCCCACGGCGGCCTGCAGAGTTGCGCAAAATTAGCTTGCTCACTTCCTCTTGGCCCCATCACCACTTCCCCAAAGCCTTATATTTTTATAGAGCTTCATGTTTGCTAGCCGACAGCAGAGGCTTAGAAAAGACAAGTGTTTAGGGTCAGCCCCGAAGGTGCGGCTCCCTAGGCCCCTCCCCCACCACTGTTCCGGTTCTGCCACTCCATCAAGCCCCAGGGGTCTGGCCGGGCTTTCCCTCGCCCAGGGGCTGCTCTGGAGCCGCTCTCCACGGGGGCCTTCTAAGCAGGGCCCAGCCACTGAGGCCAATCCAAGGAGCCCAAGACTCACAGGCTGTAGTCTGAGTACCTGGAATTTCACTCCGTGCCAGTGTTGGTGGGAGGGAGGGTGAGGCCTTGAGAGGGAGGTCAAGGTTCTTTCACTCTGAGCAACAGGAAATCCTGCCCAACGACGGGGAAATGCTCTGGGCGCTCAGCCTCACCCACCAGACCCCCTACCCACACCAAGTGTGTCAGGAAGTCTCTAGGCCCTGGGGGGAAGAGAAGGATTCAGCTAACTGAATTCAAGGCACTCAGAAAGTGAGGAAGCGTTTCAACTGCCGGAGTCTTAGCACGGTAGCCTCAAGCGTCTGAAAGAATGACTCCTGCGTCCCAGCTGAGGCGCTATGCTCAACGGTGGCCACCAGAGGGCAGCACGTTCCTGCTGTCATTCGGGACCCAGGCTGCTGCTGAGAAAGACAACGGGAAGAACTTGAAATGCTCCTTTGAAACCGCTTAACCAGCAACCTCAGATGGTGCAGAAAATGAAAGAAGTGAGAATTAAGGGAAGGCAAAGGGGACAAGAATAGGTAGCCAACTGCCTAAAGTCAATCCAATCCCACAGAATATTCCTGGGCAGTACCAAATTCAGTCCTGCTGACTCCAGAAGGTTGAGAAGCAGCTTTGCCTTTCAAACCTGTGACTGTTCCAGTATTTGTGTTTTGCTTTGTCATGTGCAAAGCTCCTCACCCAGTAAACTTTACTGAATTAACTCAGCAACCCCACAAGACAGGTATCACCAATCTCATCTCACAGAGGAGGAAACTGAGGCGGGGGAATGAGTGATCTGCTCAGGATCATACACCGCCGGGCATGGTGGCTCATGCCTGTAATCTCAGCACTTTGGGAGGCCGAGGCGGGCACATCACGAGGTCAGGCGTTCTAGACCAGCATGGCCAACATGGTGAAACCCTGTCTCTATTAAAAATACAAAAATTAGGTGGTGTGCGCCTGTAATCCCAGCTACTCAGGAGGCTGAGGCAGGAGAATCGCTTGAACCCGGGAGGCAGAGGTTGCAGTGAGCTGAGATCACACCACTGCACTTCAGCCTGGGCGAGAGAGCAAGACTCCCTCTCAAACAAACAAACAAGAAAACAAAAGCAGCACCAGGATGGGAGCCCAGCTCCTGGTCTCCTTGCTTAAGATGAGAATGGAGAAGACCAGGAGGGATTTGCCAGTAAGGGGTTGCAGTGGGATTTTTAGCCACATACGTCATTGATCCTTCCCTTGGCACTTGTCAACCTCTGACCTATCCTTCCCCTCCTGTGAGTGCAGGTCGCAGTGGTCAATTTTCCCAGCTTTTGCTGGAGAGCGTCCAAGAATTTTACAAATGCCCTCATGTCTCTTGGCCACCCAGCCTTCTCTTTGTCACAGCCCTAGGCTTCTGGGTGCTCAGGCCAGGTAGGTGTCCCCACCCCTATCAGGGGTTATTCACTGTGGTAGGGCCTCATCCCTTTATTTCACCCAGGAAGACTTTGGATCCTGATGTTGATTCTCATGCCCTTTATCTAAACACCGGGAGGTATAGGAATGAGTTCTGGATATATCAACTACTGATCCCGAATGTTTACAGCAGGGCAATGTCCTGGTCTCCTTCTTTTAACATGCTACCTGTCAAATGGGACAAAACTTCTCAGAGAATTGCATGCAAACCCTACCGCCACAGTGGGAGATAAGCAACCTCCTGATTTTGATGGCATGTGTCTTCCCCTCCTACTGCACAAGGTCCTTTCATAATTATTACTGTAAGAGCTGCCATTGATAAAATGCCAATTCACATGTGCTAGGCACTTCACCAACTGTTTTGCACACATCACTCACAATTCTATATCAATCCTGCCGGCAAGTATTATTAGATCCATTTCACAGATAGAAAACTAAGGCTAGGAGACAATTGACTCACTCTGGGAAGCGCAGCAGCAAATGGCAGAGCTAGGGCCTGAACCCAAGTCTATCTTGGCTGCAAAGCTCTGACTCTTTCAATGAGCCACACAAAAACAGTCCAATATCAATTATGCCAAAATCCAAATTGCCATTTTGGGCAGACATTCTTCAGTATCCTAATGGGTAAGACTTGCTTCCTAGGCTGGGCCAGCTATTGAAGGCTGTGCATTCTATGTCAATTGTCTACTCTCCAGCTCTTGTCAAAGCTCAGCCAAGAGTTTGATTCCAGGCCCATGGAGAGCAGCCAGCAGGCCCTTCCTCTACACTCCCTACCCGCAACTCCTGCGTCTACTCCCTGATCAGACAACAACATTGCAAAACCGTTTTACTTTAGTTCCCTGCTGAAATGCCTTCCTAGATGACCTCAGTTCCTCTGCTTTTTATGAAAGGTTAATATAAAAAAACTGTCCTATGAAGTAAGTCTCGGCATTTCATCATGATCAAAGATACTATCTGTTGCTATGTCTCTTACATAAAGTTTCATAGGATAAATTTCTCTGAGGAGTTTTAGTCCTAGAAAAGAGGTCGTTTTTCTTAATAAATTAGACTGCCTTGTTCATCTGGTTAGTGGCAGAGCTTTGTCTCATTCATTTGTGTGTGAGCAGCCGGGAGTGTCAGAGCCGATATTCAGTCTCAGTAATCACACTTGGCTTAGGTTTTCTGGGATGTCAGCGTGCCCCAAATCATTCCTCGGCTACCGGTGTTTTAGTAATTCTGTCAGGCCCTGTTTTCATGAGGAGCTGCACGTCGTTTCTGGCAGTATGCAAGGTATAAGAAATAACTCCATAGATCTCACATTAGAAGGAGTACGCATTTGTTTCCAGGCATATTGCAGGTTGATCGGTCCAGTCTGTCATGCAGGGATAATTGTCAGTACCCCCATGATTTGGGGGTGAGGAGTTTTTTCTCCCACAAGTGGCCCAAATAACATTTTAGATGATCAATTTTGGCAAAAGAGAAAAAAACTGATGAGACTGAAAATGTCCCCTCATTTGAAGTGAGTCTTTTAATACAGCACTCATAGGCACCCACATCCGGCGATATTTAGGAAATGCTTCCTTAGGAATGGCGCTGGGTAAACCATAATGCTATGATTCCCCCAGGAAGAATGTACTTTTATTGATGTGAGCCCCACCTATTTCCACGAAGGACTAAAGTTACTGTCAAGCTGAGTCGATGGCTTCTTCCTCTGCACTCCCACATCAGCTTACACATTCCTCTCTTGGAGCACTTACTACACAATTCTGTAGTTATTTATTTACATGACTGCTTCTCCCACTAGCTGG